TTCCAAAAAGCTATGAAGTCTAAATTCACAAATTTTCCCTGACACTTTCGCCATTGTCCCTGACGTTTCCAAGTTTTCTCTGACTTTTGAAAATTCTGTGACATTTCCCGGTTTTCCCTGACTGTGGTAACCCTTCGTACGAACATTTGAGAGTTGCCAAACTTTCTCTGATAAAATTTTAATTTTTGAGGAGGGTTATGAATATTCTTCTTGGAAATGTTTAGATGCTGTAGGTTGATTTGCGAATAGAATTCTGTGAAAAATTGGGAGAAAAATGTCCACAAGATTTTCGGCAAACTCAACAACAAATTATTAATTTATCGGAGGAAATTTGGTTTTGCCTGAAGGCTCATAAGCCGTTTTTCTTTAGCACGGTAGTTTAATAGACGTGAGTATACTCGCATCGCCAAAAATTGGCATTCCGCTCGTCTTGGTCGTTCAAGATCAGCGGGCCGATTATTGAAACTGATAGACAAAGCTATAGACAAAAACGACAAAAGGGATTTGGAGGGATCCTATTGGTGGAAACGGGTGGTTGCAATGGACAAAGGAGGTAGGTAATGGACTAACTAACGGCAACCCACGAGAGACCCGAGACAGTTAGTCTATCATTTTCCCCCTTAGTCTATGAGAACCAACTATGTCAACCAATAGGATCGCTCCATACTCCCTATGTCATCTTTGTCTATCGCTTTGTCTATCAGTTTCAATAATCGCCCCGCATCAGGTGCATTTAAAAGGGCAATTGGACGTATTTATGCTAAAAGAAACTATGTCACACGCAATCCCTGTGCATAAAGTTTCTTTTAGCATAAATACGTTCAATTGGGCTTTCCCTTGAATTTCTGTCATTTTTTTTAAAGCGCTCAGCCGATAGGCAGCGCTTTTTGATTTTGACTTGCCTCTGAGTACTAGTATACTAGTGCTAATGCGTTTAAATGGCGCACCAGCTCATCGATGTGTAGGCTTTTTTTTGGGGGGGGGGGTCCATTTTTAAAATAAATAAAGCTGTGAAAACTGTATTTTATGCTTTTAACGTAATGCGCAGGTAGTTTCGATCGTTTGTCTATAAGAAAATTTCTTAGCGGTAGAGTAATTCTTATCGAAATTGATCGTTGAACTCAAAGGAAGCCTAAAAAAAACGCGCCTGATGAGCTCAACGGTGAGCTCATTTTCGGGAAACAAAAATACGCATTTACGGTTTACTTGGTAACCTTTGTTTGCTATCAGAAGATGTTTTATTTCCATTTCCCAGCCAAATCGACGGAGTTTATACGTCATTTCTTCATTAAATACATTTACTAACACCTGAGCGCTTTTCTAATACGACAGTATAAGAACTATCCCGCTTGTTTTTAGTATTGATTTTATCAGAGTTTTGATGCTTTGATCTTTGAATCTTCAAACTTTCGGAGAAATATATTGGTAGATTTTCGAGAAATTCACCTTAAAAATCTCTTCAATGCTCCGCTTATGGACCGCCGCTGACAGACGGTCCCTTCGAATCGGGTAATCGATCAGAAAATGGACTATCCAGCTCTGATGATTTTGTATAAGGAGATTCCAGAATGCATTGCGTGGATAGTTAATTTTTGATAAGTTTTCTGGTAAAAGTACAATGGGCTTGGACGACGAGAAGCATGAGTGCAGCTTTTGCTACTTCGAGAAATACGCGTTCTATGTTTCGAAATTACATGGATCCGTACGGTGGAAAGTAAGTTCCAATCGACTTTTTGAGGCTTAAATATTGGAGTTTGTGAGCGAATCGTTCACTAAATATGCATTAGTTTTACTTGACATTATTAATACCTCAATTTTTTCAACAATTGCAGTTATGCGCCTTGCCCGGCCTCCAAGCTCTTCAATTTGCGTACAGCAGTTCGGTAGCGTTGAGGTGTAATTACGACAATATCTATGACCTAGTTACAAAAAAAAAAAGAAACAGAAAAAAAAACACTTGGATTTCATAAATTGGATTTCACAAATTATATTTTTAACGTTGCAATATATTCAAATCGGCCTCTACTGAAACACGCCAACTTTATATTCCGTTGAGCCTCGAGGCCCTCAGGAATGCTCGTATTCTAGCGCTCATCAGATAATTGACATTCCGGCTTGAGCATCCACCGATCCATTCGTCGAAGGTTTCGATTTGCAAACTAGCCCACCGACGGGCCGAGAGCGAAAGCTGCGGGTCGATTGTCGAACGACCCGAATCGATAAATATCATTCCTAAGATAGGGATTTATCGATCAATATCGATTCGATAATCGACCCGCAGCTGACCCGTTCGACCGCGGCTCCGAATCCAATTAGCGACAGCGATGTGTCACAAGCCGCCCGCACTCCCATTTAAAGAAACGACCCGCTCCATCACTCTTCTAAACTAAGCCAAAACCACGTATCTCCGGTGTAAAACACTGCAGATACACGCGGTTGCTGCATAGCGCTCGGATACAAACCCCCATCACTCTTTTTGACTAAGCCAAAACCACGTATCTCTAGTGTAAAACACTGCAGATATACGCGGTTCCTGCATAGGGCTCGGATACAAACCCCCATCACTCTTTTTGACTAAGCCAAAACCACGTATCTCTAGTGTAAAACACTGCAGATATACGTGGTTCCTGCATAGGGCTCGGATACAAACCCCCAGTCTCAGTGGGTCGATCAAAAATCAATGCACACGCGCTCCACCCCCGGCTCAGAGGGAAAAAACGAGAACAATGGCCGGCTGGAAACCACCTATTGTTGATCCCCGGGGAAGGGGGCGAGGTGGATGAGGGGGGGCAGGGGGGCGGTAATGGAAAAAGCACCTTTGACGACACGAGAGGGAAGCGCGAGTACAGTCGTCGTGACGTGGATGTTCGTCGAGGATAAAAAAGGCTCCTTTTAGACTAATGGGTTGGTGGTCGGTTGTACATAAGGACGGCTTGGGGATTGGATTGGAAAGGTCTGGTTGCACCATCGAAAAGGGTTGAATAGGGGTGCGTATTCATCGTCGTTTCTCAAACACATCCTCGTCTCCCGGACGAAAGGACGTAACTCTATTCCGAGGTTGCAATATCGTCACCTTCCAGGCAAAGTACCACAAGCGCCATGCGACGTTTAAAAATTTCCGCCGCCATTTTATTTCTTTACTGAGAAATTGTTGGTTGAATCTGTTTGGAAATTTCACTAAATTTTATCGGCAGCACAAAGAAAATTCAGTAAAATTTTCGGACAACTTCGTTGAGCAATTTCTCTGTAAAAAAATATAATGGCGGCGGAAATTTTTAAACGTCGCATGGCGCTTGTGATACTTTGCCTGGAAGGTGACGATATGGACCAAGCAATTTAATTTTTTACGAGGATGTATCCATGCAATTCTCTTCGAAAGCTTCTTTCTGATTTTCGGACGAGGTCAGAAAAAAAAACTGGTAGAATTTTCGATCAGAAATGCATAAAATTCTCTCGGTAAAGATGCAAGTTGTGCGGGAAATTCGGCAACACTGAAATATAGGAACGTTCTTTGTGCGAGAAACGACGACATGTTGGCTATAATTCTTGACTGAGCTCATTCCCTGAGTTTCCCTGATTTCCAGGAGCTTATTTTCTAATGAAAAACTGAATTAACTCTCATCGCCCTGAGATTTTTTTGGATGAAACTATAAAACTTTTCGGGATTTCAGGTAAATTCATCGAATTCTTTCATCTTTTAGTCGATTCTTTGGCGCACATTTTAAGTATTTACGCCAACAGCGATCCTGAAATCTAGATTATCAGGTCGATGAAAGCTCCTTATCATGATAATTTGAAGACTTATAAATGGATGTATTTCTACCAAACAGACCTATGTGGAGGTGAGAAATATGGGGTGTGTTCTTTAGTTCTGTGGCCGTAAGAGTGAATGAGAGTCATAAAGCGCCAGTGACGTCAGCGGCAATGATCGAGCGCAGGCGCGAGGGGGTAATCGTCGTCGGGACGCTTTAACTCATGAGCCCTGTCTACAACGCTCTCTTGCCATGCCCGCGGCTCATGAATCTCGCATTCAGTTGGCACATAGGTCTGTTTGATAGAATGTAAAATCCTGCTTCTCCAATTCTTCAAAAGGAATCACGCCCACTTTTACATTGCTTCTTATGCAGCTTCAACGAGCACACCCCATATTTCTCACCTGCACATAGGTCTATTATTGGTAGAAATACGTCCAAATGAAACCTCTTCTTCGATGGAAACATGATGGGAATTGGTGCATTTCTGAAAAACTGTCCGGCGATTATAGGTTCCATGGGAAGACATCAGACGCATTTCGTCATTTTAAAACCAAACTTTCAAAGCTAAACAGCATGAGCATTGTGCAAAAAATCCCAATTTATTTGAACGACAGGGTGTTTTGAAAGCTGGTATCCACCTTGAATATCTTTTAAACGAATCCGGAAATAAAAAAACGCCGAAACACGCGTTAACTATTTGAGATGACCAAAAAATGAAAGTTCGCGGGAAGGGAGTCCCTTCAAAAATACTGAACACGCGGTCCAGCGTTTATCGATATTCGAGGTTGTTAGAGAGATATTCACGGTGGGTATATTTTAGAAAAAAGTATAAAAGTAGTACAAAAGCTAAAAATGGGGATAACCGCTGAAGTGCCCGCAACCATCCAAACCTCTTTTCCGGTATCGCATAGCACTTAATGTAAAGTAGGTATTACGACTGCTTCTCTCACTCGAAGCGTCAATAAGCAATACGCTTAGGTTCTTATCTGGTCTAATGGGTTGTAGCGAGGATGTTTGCTCGGGCACGATCTGAGCATTGGAGGGACGGATGAGGGCGTAATTGCACATGCTTCCTCTACAAATACGAGTAAGTGCTTAGGGCGAAGTGAACCCTGAATCATGGTCTATCGATTTCCCAACTTGAAGCTACGGTAAAGAATCGAGTACGAGGATACACCATGACGATCGATCCTTTTCCATGGGATTAAATGAAAATAAATCGATTAATGGCGGAGCACGACTTACCTTCTACGGTTAATTTGCTACCGGCGCAGGTAATTTTCAGCTCCATCCTCCCCCGCCGCTCGGTATGATCACAACCACAGAGATTAGGCACGCTCTCCTCGCACCGTTTATGCACATTCATATCACAGGCTGTTCACAAAAACAAAGAAAACCAATTAGAAGGTCGCATGATTATCGTTCAATGATTAATTCAAACATGCAACTTTGTGTGGACACAGAGACGAGATATTCTGCCGTGCTATGGAAAAACGCCGTATGAGCCTCCAGGCGTTGCCAAATTTCCTGTGGCAAATCACTAATTTTCAGGATTTTTTTTTAAAAATGGTTCTGCCAATTTCTCCGATAATTTTGTTTGTAATTTGATCTAAAGTGTCTGAAAATGTCAAGATAAAATATTCATAACTTTCTTAAAAAATAATCATTTAATTGAAGGAGGTTTGGCAACTCTTGAATGTTCATACGGCGTTTTTCCTTGGCATACCTATACTGCCGTGCTAAGGAAGAACGCTGTATAAACATCTGAGAGTTGTCAAATTTCCCTTGATAAAATGTGTGATTTTGACGGCATTCGTGCAAATTTTTCTGTGAAATTATCAGATATTTTAGATTACATTTCGAACAAAATTATCCAAAAATTTTGAAGGATTTTATTCACAATTTTTCTAGTAAATTCGGTTCTTATCGACGGAAACTTGGCAACGTCTGAGAACTCATACGACGTTCTTCCTTAGAAAACAGTGTTGCCAACTTCTTGGATCCACCTATGGCCCTAGTGGTTAGGAAGTGGAGATTCCATTGATTTCGACAGACTTGTTCGCTAAAGGCACCAAAGTGCAAGGGTCATAGATGGGCGTTATGGATGTATTAGGGAAATGCCGAAACCTGAACGCATCACATGGGCTGATCGCGATGTGCCCGGGCAGATTCCGAAGTGTCCACAAAATTTTTAACTAATCCTGAAATGAACGGTGACTCCGGGAATTGCCGGGGCAGATCGCAATGAGTTTAAATCCTGTGGGCGAATCTTGCAACAAGCACTATTTTTGCGGCTCTTATACCCGGACAGATCACATTATAAACATAAACTGCAGGAGAATAGAAGAGGCAGAAATGACAACTTCCAGTCCAAAATTTTGTTGACACTCTGTGCCCAGGTTTTGGTATTTGCCCGTGACACATACATAACATAATAGATAACATTGCTTTAAATCTATGTTTTAGAAACACATGCCGCACAAAACAGACACTAACCAATCAGGCGAAGAAGAAACTCGAGTTTTGGATTGTGAATGAATGTAAACTTGCACCTACACTGAGATCCTACGAAAATGAACTGCAGATGGCTCCAATCATGACATGAGAAAAATCCAGGCAAAAGCGTGCGTGAAATGCGCTTTCATGCCTAAGTTCGTTCCATCGAATGACTGTCTTGTCGGTTTTTTTTTCATTTGTTCATAGATTTAATAGAGGGAACGCTCATGAATAGTGATTTACAGAAATGGCACTTACTTTCGACAGCTAATTTTGTGGTAAACAGTATAAAAGTAAGTGTTCGTATGAACACACACATATTCTGTGAAAATGAAATAGCTTTTCCCACTCTATAATATGAAATCCTAATAGTAATGAGTAACGCACAACCCCAAAGGCGCGAGGCACTTCGGAGGGTCGGATCGCAAAGCGATGAGGGGGAGGATAGCCCCCTGGTATGGTTGAAAGCTTCCTTAAATCCGGCACACTTTTTGCCGTCATCTAACCTTTGAAGTTGTTTATTATTTTCATGCGTAACCAAGCAAGAATATAGAACGTGCAGTGCTACATGCTGCTCTCTTGCGCAACATGAAATAAACACGTCTCCTTTTCTTACAATTAAAGGTGGGTGAAAACGAACAATTGGACTTTATTTTCGACTTCGGATTAGGAACTACAATTTCTGGTTCATTCGTGAAGACACTTATTTGCAGAGGCTACGAAAGGTACATGCGTTGTTTTTAAACTGAGCCAGAATTTGTAGTTCCTAAGGGTAAAATTCAGTCCAATTAGACTTACGAATGCTAAAACGATCTAGTATGTTGAACGCAAACCCTAGGTGCATAATTCCATTTAGAATAAATACGTCTTTTTAAACGGCTTTAACCAGAATCAACCCAACTGAATTCCACGATACCTCATGTTTTCACATTGTCAATTCATTTATTTCTTTCCAAAAAAAACTATGTAAGCAACATAATAATCGTCCGCACGGTTCTTGAGGGTCTATTGGACAGTAAGTCGACAGCTAAAGTTGGAAAGGGCATATCTTCAATTGCGACCTGACAAACCTCCATCCATGTTTTATTGTCACGCAAAAAAAAAGTGACCGACAGTTCTTCTCGAAGATTTCGTTCCTCGTAAATGAAAAAAAATAGATTCACAGAAAATTTGGTCATTCTTTGTAGAAAGGGTATGCAATTATGCATTTGTGCAAGCTTTGGAAAGCTGTTTAAGTTGTGAATTTGTGTACTTGACTTGCATCCTGACAATATAAGTTGAGGGTACTTCAGGAATTTTTACCATACTTTACCGTATTTTTACTCATTTTTCCGTAAAAATTATTCGTCTGCGTGTTTGTTTGGCTTTGCTACAAATTGTATACAAAACTGCACAATCTGAGCAACAGCAGTTTATAAGCCGCTTCTACAAAGAATGATTAAATAATCTTATTTTGGTCAGTTTCTTTGAGTAACAGATGAAACATTCTCAAAAATTTTGAACCGTCAGAATGGAAATGCCCACTTTTCGACTTCGGTCATCGATATTCTTAAAAAACGAATAATATAAGTGCAATGAAATCTTCCGCTAAAACGACATTGATTCCATTTCCTCAAAACCTCATTTCGTCGTTTCCTTCATGAAAGCGCTTAACTACATTTCAATGTTGCCACATTTCTTTCTCGAATGGCGCTTTTACAAGGGGATACTCGAGCATTTCTGACTGGAAATGCGCCTGATTTTACTTCTGATCTCATGCAAAAATCAATTGCAGAAAAATCAGGGAGAAAATTGCACGAGCACATTCCAGGAAAAAATTGAATTGTTCGGGTCAATTTTGCAACCTTGGAATGGAGTTAAGCTCCTTCGTTCAGTAAACGACGATTTTTGCTTTTGCTGCTCTATTCGGTAAAACGGCGACTTCAGGAAGGTCGGGAGGAAAGCGACTCGTGAATAATCGAGTATCGATATTTCCCCATTCGAAGCTACGGTAACGAATCGATTATTAAGACGGTTGTTTATCGATTCTTTTCTATAGGTTTAAACGGCAGACCAATCGATAAATCGCAAAGCACGTTCCAGTTTTGGAGAAGTTGCAACGCCACGGGCTGCGCGCGGAGAGTGATGCTGTGAACCTTTTAGCGCGGTCCTTGCAACTTATGTGATCTTGTCCGGGGAGCCTCACTTATCGCTCTCGCTTCGTCGCCCGCCTGCCAAAAGGTCGTAACTAACACATTTAGATGAGCCCCGAAAAGCGTTGAGTTGTATGGACGTCAAGGCTCATTGCGAAGTGTACAGTTATGCCCTTGTGTCAGGGAGGCGACGAGTTATCCTCGCAGACGAAAGGAACGAGGGGCGAGTGAGGGAATGATTATGATTGATGACTCGCTGACTTCAAAGGCTACACTCCAGTTTTCCCAACGTTTTTCCCTCGAGACAAAATAAACTGTCGCCAAGACAATGAAACTCGTGGTTCACGACGACGCAGTCATCAGGTTTTATTTCTTTTCCACTCATCGCGGTGACCGGAATAATTTGTGACGATTTTTTACATTCAATATTGTTACTAGGTACACCCTTAGCAATAGGAATAAAAATTAAAGGGGAAAAAAATTGGGACTTATCGTGTAAATACTTATTTCGGCAAGGATATTTTACGAAAAATGTATAGAGCTTGCATTAAAAAAAAGTTTATTTTAAAAATCCCCCAACATTTGTACGTCTGAACATGAAAATACACGTGATATTTATGGAAAAGAAACGGATTTGTAAATTTGGATTGTAGAATTTACATGGTTTTTTGTACTTATGCAGTGATGAAGGGATAATAACAAAAAAGAATGAAGCAGAGAAAAGAGAGAAGAAATGCGAGAGAGGTAGTGGTAATAAAGTGAGTTTATTTTTACGTGGTGCCTTAACATCGGAGGCCATTTACACCTCTGGTAATATTAACTTGAAAATATGAAGAATGGGGGGAGGAAGAAACAAATTTGAAAGTTAGCGGCAAAAAAAAAGCGTGAAATTTTGAGGATTGGGAGAAAAACAGAAAAAAGAGAATATAAATGCAATAGGAACTTGAAAGGGGGAAAAAGTCCATCACTAGATCTCCAGTGTTTACGTTTGGCGGTGGGTGAAGGTGAGAGGTTAGATTTTGAGTTTAGTGGAGCGCTCGAATTTGAAGAGTTTTCGACAAGGAAGATTGAAAGAAGTAGAAAAGAGAGAGAGAGAAAAAGAAGATAGGAAGGAGAAGAAGAAAAGAAAAGAGAAGGAAGAAGAAAAAAGATGTAGAAGAAGACAAAAGAGGAAGAAGACGAAAAAAAGAAAAGAGGAGGAAGAAGAAAAAAGATGTAGAAGAAAAAAAGAGGAAGAAGAGGAAAAAAGAAAAGAGGAGGAAGAAGAAAAAAGATATAGAAGAAAAGGAAAAGAGGAAGAAGAGGAAAAAAGAAAAGAGGAAGAAGAAGAAAAACAGAGATAAAGGAAAAAAAGAGGAAGAAGAGGGAAAAAGAAAAGAGGAGGAGGAAGAAAAAAGATGTAGAAGAAAAAGAAAAGAGGAAGAAGAGGAAAAAAGAAAAGAGGAGGAGGAAGAAAAAAGATGTAGAAGAAAAAGAAAAGAGGAAGAAGAGGAAAAAAGAAAAGAGGAAGAAGAGGAAAAAAGAGGAGGAGGAGAACAGAAAAGAAGAAGAAGAAAAAAAAATGAAAATGGAAAAGGTTTTACTGAAATGAAAGGAATATGAAAAATGCGGACACATAGGTGTTGAAATGAAAACACTCTGGACGCCATAAATCCGAAGTTGGAGCATAATTGAAACTTGAGGGAAGTTATCAAGTCAGCGACCGACTCCCGCACGCGGTACATGAATTATCGAGTAGCAGCAAAC